GCATAAATATTTGAGTGGTTGGATCACTGAAGTAAATGCTTTTAAAATGTGCCTCCAGCAGTCTGTTGATGTTCTGGGTCACGAGGCCCACTCGGCAACACCGGGGTCCCAAAGCAAAACCAAGAGCCAGACCAAATATGGGACAACATAAGGCCAGTGTGGTTTTTTTTTTTTTGTAAAGAGATCATCTCCCTCCACCTCAGAGGATGTTCAGACCAAAAATATCCTTGAGGACCTACAAAAACCTCACAGGCTGAACCAAATCTTCAGTTACATCCCTCTTATCAATTAGAGACGGCCCAATAGGTGAGTGGTCACGGCGCATACCAGATTGGCGTAAAAACCCAGAGTAAGTCCCTGGTTCGACTCACAGCTATCTGGACAATTTAATCCATGTCAGTCTCCTACTCTCCCCACATTTCCTGCCTACCTTAAATGCCACTGTCAAATAAAGGCATAAAAATATATAGAGCACTTTCCCAAAGTGCTCTCAGACTTTTGGAGCCCGCTACGAGTACAAATGTTTTCAATGCAAGAACGGTTTCAGAAGTGGCTGGGTTGTATTTTACTCCACAGATCTTTGTACTTTACTGTCTTGTTTTTGACTGACGTTCAATTCTGATGTCTTTTTATGAGAATGTCATTTGTGAATAAAAAATATTAACTGAAAGGCTGCAGACACTGTTCAGAAAGAAAGAAAGAAAAAGAAAAGGCTAACCTGGAAAAAATAAAATGAGGGAGGACCTTTTTCTTTGTGTTGAATTCTACTATAATGAGTTGTGGTAATTGTCTGAACACCACTCGTCTAGGGTTTGGTGTGGGCTTTGGGAAGACAGATGGTGTGTTTAAAAAAAAATATTGCAGTTTTTAATGTGAAAAAAATCCATGCGACCCAGGAGAAGTGAGATGAGATTAATTTTTTTTTTTTAATACAAATCAAAGAAGACGGCTAAGTAGCTGTAGCTGTTTGCTGACTGTAGCTACATATTTACTAGAGAGACATGAGAGTGGTATTGATCCTCTCATCAAACTGTCAGCAATAAAAAAAATCACCATATTTATTAAAATTTCTTTAAGGCTTTTTTTTTTTAGATGCCAAAACACCAAAGAGTAAATAATGAGGGGTTTAGTTTAATCGTGTTGCACTCAGCTATAAAAAGAAGTGACAGAAGAACAATGTGAAGAATGAGAAAAAGCCTCAAGTTCTAAAAAAAAAGAAAAGAAGTGGGCTTACTTGGAAAGTTATAACTGTTGGAAACTGATGATCCAAGAAACACTTAATTTGAAGCAAACTGAGCCATAAATTTTACATCTCTGAAGAGTTACCATTTTATTCTCCATGTCACTGACTGATTGAGAGATTGTACCACATTGTGGCAAAAGAGGAGCCGGGAAGAACAGCTCTTTCCAGACAACCCTGCGGTTTTTTTTGTTTTTGCCTGACCCCTCTGAGCTGAGATATCCAACATTTACACTGTGTAGGAGGTTTACCGAGGAGGTTGTTTTTACAAAGATTCATACAAACGCACACACGCAAGCACAGCCTTCATTCAACAAAAGGACTCCATTTATCCATCGCATCATCCCAACATTACCTAACCAACAAACTATAGAAAATTACACATCTCTATCAGAAATAGAGCTATCGTGGTGCTTTCATGACACATTAACTTCTGAAGGGCTCACATAGTAAATATTGAAGTGTGTGTGCGAGTCTGTGTGTGTGTGTGCTAGTTGTTCCTGCAAGCCATTTATTGATGAATGCCCCATTTCAGTGAGGTGAAACCAACCCTAGATAGGTATGACATCTCATTTAGAGAAACATCACCACCACTTTCCTTCATTTATCTCACCCTCTGCCACATGGGGTGTGTGTGTGTGTGTGTGTGTGTGTGTGTGTGTGTGCGGGTGTGTGTGTGTGTGTGTGTGTGTGTGTGTGTATACGTGTGTACGTATACATTCATGTCTAAGGTTCAGGTTAGGATTAGGTTAAGGTTAGGGTAAGGGCCAAGGGAATGCATAAAGTCAATAAGTGCCCTCACAACTATAGTAAGCCCAACATAAGATTGTGTGTGAGAGTGAGAGAGAGAGAGAGTTAGAGCCATATCTCGTTTTTCAGTATATTTCTTTCTTCCAATCCTTCATTGAGCTTCTGGTAACAGCACAGTGTTTGTGTGCACATTTATGTATTCCCTATGTGTGTATCTCTATTGTGTCCCTGTCCTCCAGTGTGTGTGAGTGTGTGTGTGTGTGTGTGTGTGTGTGTGTGTGTGTGTGTGTGTGTGTGTGTGTGTGTGTGTGTGTGTGTGTGTGTCAAATTGCAGCACAAGTGAAAAGGTCTCATCTTGAAGACACTGTGCAGGCTGACCCATCCAAATAGCAGATTATCAGGCACACACACATTCAAAGCCGAAAGGTCAATCTGATCTCTTGGCTGCCGACGGCCCATAGCTTTTAAAACACCAGCCACACCGGTGGTGACTGATGGACTTCAATTTTCTCTTCGCCTGCTCCTTTCTCTGCCTCCCAGCAGGAACCCTGAATATTAGGCTTTGAGCAGCCGAGAGGGAAAGAGATATGGCTGCGTTATCTGAGGCAGAGCGAAAAGAGGTAAAGAGAGAGAGAGGGGACCTAAACTGTGAGACGTACGGTACAACTGTAGAGAGAGACAAATGAGAAGAGAGGGGGCAGAAAGGAAGAGAAGCAGAGAAGAAACTGATGTAATAAGTGAGCATGACAGCCTTTTGAAAGATGAAAGCATGGCCAGATTTTTATTTTGTTTTATATGAACATGTGACCCCACCTCAAGGGTTAAGAAAACTTGGTGTCTCTCTTACTGTAAATGTTTTCTGCTCTGCACATAAAGACGCCATCCAGAGCTTGATGCGAGGTTACGAACGGAAATAAAATTGTGAGTTTACTCTTTGTGCTCGAGACAAACAATGAGTCGATGATTGTTTTTGTTTACAGTTTGGACGTCAGCGTCTCCCTTCCTGTAGTAGGCGAACCGACATGGTGCTCCTCAAGTAACCAACATCATCTACAATAAAATATCCTTTCCAGCTGGTCGCGTACGGAGATTGTTTTAAAGTTAAGGAAAGAAAAAGCTTTTCAAAATCACAGGTTGGTTGATTTGTGAACAAGTGAGACATTATTTACACTGAAAACTGATCTGGAGCATTGATTTGGATGAGTTGGATACTTTGATTATCATGGCAGTAATGACTCTAATTAACAAGTGAAAATAGGCCTGATCTCCTCTATCAAAATGGACTAATTTCCCCAATACTAAACTCATTTCCTCACGAATAAAATCATTTTTTCAGTGTCAGAAAACCTCAACACGCTATTCTGCACAAGGCCTTTAATTCATACCCCTGCAAACTAATTACACCAGGATGTGATTTAATTATATTTCAACAAAGGCAGAGATGGTGATGGTAAAGTAAGACTTGTCTAATAAAAGCTTTAAAAGGACATTTGTTTTACTGCTCACCAAAGAACCAGAGGCAAAACCAGGATATGTGGAATATGTGACAACAACAAAATAAACTCAGTAATAAATGACATAGTTTGAAAGGGACCTTTTGAAAAATAGTTTAGGCTTTCATATCTAATATAATGTTGAAATTGAACTATATGACAGTCTTGAAGAAGAAAAGTAGATTTGTGCTATAATGATACAGAAAATTTGCTCAATTCTTCTATTATCCATTTTCCTAGAACACTCAAAAGATTACATTTAGCAGAATAAAAGCAGATTTGCTACAATGGCCAAAGCAAAGAGACTTTGCTATTCACATAGGAAACATTTAAGTTAGGCATTTAGAGAAAGACTGGTAGGTTAGGAAAAAATAATTATATGGTGCAATGTATTAGGTATTTTGTATGTGAACTTCTAAATGTCATGTTTTGCTACTTGAGGAGATTATAAATGAATTTAAATTGGCTTCAGCAACTGAATCTAAGTAAAAGACCATTTGTTTTAACAAGGTTTCCTGACAGTAACCGATTACTTTTATTTAATTTTGCCCACAGGAAACCAGTATATGCTCTGTGACTCACAGTAAATCACTGAGGTGTATGAATCTATTTCTCTATTATAAGTATATGAAAAACCTGAATCAACAAGTCAACAAGAACGTATCCCAAGATGCATTTTCTGTCTTATTCATCTAACCAGAGCAAGACTTTGTCTACTGATATTACATCGCCAGCTTTACTGAAAAAAAATGAATTTGTACATCTCAACAATACAACTAAGCAAGTAAATATACACAACTCGGGTCTTTAGTCCCTCATTTTAATTTGTTAAACCTGCCATAACAGATTATTTTGGCCACTAGGGGCAGTGGAAACAAGTTTTGAAAACATAATTGACATATTATCACCTTTTAAGTTGATATAATGAACTTGGTAAAACTCCAGCGACATTATCTGTCATTTGGAGTCATGCCTTTGACCACCTGGTGAATGTAAATCCAGTATTCACGCTCCTGTTTGACCTGTTTTTGAGAGAAATAACTGGCTCTTTAGCTGCTAAATGCTCCATATGTTCCACAGACCACTTGATGAAAAAATATCAATTACAGCTGCTTTCAGCCCTCAAGTATTTCTATAGTACTTTTTATCCAAAGCACTTCACAAATTTGCATCATTCACCCATTCACACACTCCCACACTGATGCTATTTGACAGAAAAGGTGAGGCTTCAAACTGCCAACCCTGCAATTAGTGGATAACCTGCCGGAGTCACCAGAAGACGCCTTGCTGTATTTCTAATGTTTGACATGCAGCTAACAATCTACAGTTTGAGATGAGACACTGACTTGTCAATCAGTGCCCCAGTGTCACGGGAAAATGTTTTCTGAAAGGGACACATCAGAGAAAAGAAAGAGAGAGACAATAGAATACAATAGAATACAATACAATAGAATAGAATACAATACAATACAATACAATACAATACAATACAGGTAGAGACAGTTGGACAGTCTTACCTGATGCAGGGCGGTGAGGCCGTCTTCGTTGCAGAGGTCAGGACTCACATTGTTCCTCAGCAGGTAACGTACTGGTGGAAAGAGAGACAAAGAAACATAAATGAAGGCTGAACTCTCTGAGAACTATGGGCAATCTTTCTATTTAAATACTGGATTTCCTTCTGTTGGCTTGAATAACTACATTTCCTTTTTACAAATTAAACCAGATTTAGAGGTCTCGCTTCACTGCATGCTTCGGTTTGTTGTTCTCACTTGACAGCCAAGAGGCACACATGTTCCTACTGTTCAGTTATAATCAATATCGGAGAGAATAAGATGTTGTGGCTGCTCCAAACAAAACAATAGATGCAGGATAAAAGCATGATGTGATTCCACACAAACCAATTCCTCTTAATTGCTCACACAGCCTGCAGGTGCTCCTCAACTTAACCTTTTGTTACCTGGTGACATCACCAATCAATCTGCTATCCATTAATCATTCTGCATCATCGTGATGCGACCCTGCCACAACTTCAATCTCTCAAATTATCATCCCCGCCAGGATGTTACCCAACTGACCTTGGAAATATGGATGAATGATGGGTGAGGGGTGAAGGGAGGTAGGAAGGGTTAGTGATGGAGGATGATGTAATGATGCTTGGGATTACACTGTTTGTCTGTCTCATGGTGCAAACAGATAAACCCTCCACCCGGACACTAATTCAGAATATATCAGCTATCACAGTCTGCACACTGGACATCTGCCTGGCTGCTAAAACTGCTAAACCTGCTGGCCTGAGCTATAAGTGGCAGTGGCACATAGGACTCCTCTCCACGTCACTATTATCCCCTGTTTTTGGCAGTGTTGCCACCTGCCTTTATTTCACAGGGGCATAAAAAAAACAAACAAAAAAAAAAAACAAACAAACAAAACAGAGAGAGTGGGCGAATTAGGTTATGGTGATGAGCGCTGAGAGGGAGATGAGAGCGATTTGGGATGATAATTATCACATCTGTCCCTTAGACTCACAGCAAAAAAAAAAAAAAAAGGTCACGTGCACATAACCTACATGCACCGCAGGTTCAGTGGGCTATACAGATATAAACACACAGCTGCACGTTCATGCAGCTGGATACACACGTGATAAACTCCAGTATAGTCATATATGTATGTGTGAAATCAAGGGTGTAGGTCTTGCTTTAGAAGTTATAAAGCAGATATAAATCTATGAATAACATATGATAAAACTGATAGATTTGTCGATAGAATATGATACGTTATAATCGATAAATTCTAGTCTGTTCTTAGAGCAATATTAAGACTGAATAAAAACAAAGATTCAATGATACATTCATAGGGTTTTTTTTTTTTTTTTTTAACCCTGAGCAGTGTCTGTAAGAGATAAGGAGGGGAAAAGTGAAAAAAGACTGAGTGCTGAGAGAACTGGACTCAAGGTTATACGGTGAAAGCTCAGTGTGACTGCATCCAATAAATGTCACACACCATCTCTGCTTTCCTCTGTATATTTAGAGAGCTGTGTTGGACACGAGCAGTGTACAACCTTGGCTGTAAACATGTGTCAGAGGAACTGCTGCACTATCATCACAGTTGTAATTAGTTACAGAGGTCTTCTTCTGGACTTCAGCATTTTAAGAGGACCTTCTAAATGTCATGTTTAGCTGCCTAAGGAGATTATAATTAAATTGGTTTGAAAACTGCATTTGAATAAAACAATTTAGGAGCATTTATCAAGCACAAGCTTTCCCAAAAATAACTGACTGAAATATTTCTATTTCCATTTGCCCAGAGGAAAGCAGCATATACTTGTTGAATTTTCAACAAGTGGTCATGGTATTTGAATGTATTTATTTTTAGAATTGTAGAAGTATTAGGTCCCTCAAGATGTATTTTTCCCATTCATTATCTATTCAACCGTCAACTCCAGTGAAAATGGTTCAGTCACAGCATAATAATTTCTACAGAAATTTGTATGTCACAGCAATACAATTAAGCAGCACCATAACTAAACAAACATCCCCGCTATGTAACAAATTAAGCGATAAATGAATGTTGACACATGCACTATGTGTCTGTTCTAATTCTTGGGGCCATGGAGGAGAAAAATAAACCGCGTTTAAACTGCCAAAAAATGTCTCTTCCAGTCAAGGCCTTAAACTTGTCTGTAAAATAATTAGATCAGCTCTGAAGAGGTGCATGGGAGTTTGTTGTGATGACAAAGCCTGACAAGCTGTGCTGGCATCATTTCTATCAGTCTTTTTTTTTAATATAATTTAAGGGAAGAGAAACCTCTTAGTCAGTAATAAGTATCTAATTCATACAATCAACTGCTGCAACTACAGAAACAGATTTAACAGTTTTTATTTGCAGTGTCCATATGAGTTACTATATCAATGAGTAATTGATTTTTCAAAGCAGGCATTCACCTTTTTTCACCTTACCCCCATATGCAGGGACGTCAGAGTTGATCTATAGTTGAATAGTTTTATAGTTATATTTCAATAAGACAGATACTTGGTATAACAGCTTCAACCAAACCTTCTGCTTTAATATGGCCACCTGATTGAGTAAACAGCAGGCTATTAGTATTTTAGAGAAACTAAATATTTGCAGCTTTTAACATTTTTATATTGTTGATCGAAAAGGGTAAAAATAAATAAAGCATCAAGTTTTGAACGGGGACATCTACAGGATGATTTATTATAGATGCTGTATTTCAACCAGCACCACAGCTTCAGGAGCTTCAGCCTCAGAAGATGAAGCACACATACATTGATCTTATGCTCCTCCATGCTAATGACAGCCTCATGTGCCTCATGTTTGTTAGCAGACATGCGCGTGTCATTAGTGTGCAAAGTACATGTCAAGTGTTCACACAAGCAGGACAATCATTACTCCAGATGCATCCTGCCGACACCTCCACTGTTTTCACTGAAGGTATGTGGTTTACAGGGTGTAGAAAATAAAACTCTCTATAGAGCAAATTAACAGCTGACTTCCTACCTTCCTACCTCAGTACTACGCCTGTGGAGCTCATCATCAAATGATTTCTTTTATTCTTATGAGACAAGAGAGTTGAGATGAAGATTAGATGTGTCTGTGACATCATGACCACAAATCTTTTGTCTGACAATCAGGAGGGAACAGCCCGGCTTAAGTAAAGTGGATACAACAGCAGTTGTACGCGACACATGTTGCAGCTCAGGACACTGCAAGATGCACCCAACCATTCCTGTTATTCCTGCATTTGTAAGACATTGATTATATGTCCAAAACATCAGCTTATGTCAGTGATTGTTTGGCTGTATTAAGAGAGATACAAGGCATTTAAAGATTTTGGAGGGAGGTGGATTTTCTAACCTTTCCAATACAATAGACACGAGAACAAAAGTGACAGAAAATGATTAAACACGGTGTTTATCTGCTGTAATGCTAGCTGCAAGTGTTAGCATGTTTATTGTTTATTAGGATCCACGTTAGCTGTTACTGTTGTTGGGATCCAGGTTAAAATGTCCTGCTGACTAGTTTCATACCTACAGTAGTAGCCCCCAGACGACTTGGGGCAACGTGAAACAAAGTGACAATAAATAGTCAATAAACAGACAAAAGACAAGCATGAAACAACTTTAAGACAAAGGAAAACTCAACAAGTGGTTGCATTTATACTACAGCAGGAGTTGAGCAGAACTTAAACCAACCTGACATCTCACTAATGCAAAACTGTAAAAAATAATCTCTTGTCCTGCTGGAAGACATGACTGTGAATAAAGCAAAAAATTCAATTTTCCCACAGCTCCGACACTCTGCTGATCAGATAACAAAAATCCAATTTCTGTTGCATTCAGCTCGAATAAAACTGTATTTTAGCATGACTGAAAACAATCCAGAGGTTGGCAGTCTAATGATAAATAATACAGTGGTGTGAAAGTAAATAAAATATTCAGGATGAGTGACAGTCAGTGTCACCAGCACTAGATAAACACCATCTTGTCACTGTTCACTTCCCCTGCTGGAACACCCTGCTATTAAATACTGACTGGTGTTACATTACACAAAGCAGCGCTACAGTATGGGAAGAATTACACCTGAAAGCAGATCTGAGATTAGAAACGATTGTGTGCATGTCATTTCTCATTCACACGGGGGGGGGGGGGGCACGTGTGTGTAGATTTTCCTCTGCATGAGCATATTTGCCATGAACACAGCGATGTATAAACACGTTTTGTTTTCCTACTGTTTTGGTCTGGAAAAGCAACCAGAAGGTGAGGGTTGTCTAACAGTGTCTGTTGGAGGCAGAAGTCAGAAAGCTCTGCTCTGCTCTTCAGGCTGGATTTTAAAATAGCTGTGTGAGATGAACAAATGCACATGCAGATAGAACAGACACACTCGCCGCCACCAAACGACCTGATGTTTGTTTGGGTTTTTAGCTGTGCACCAAAATATATGCATTGGTGCTGAATTGCTTTCCTGTGGGAAAAAAAAGGTGGCTACTGGTGGATTAGTTAAGATAAAAGTGGATTTGAGTTATGATGTGCGATGTATCTGACGATGTGAGGGACAGAGCAAGACAGAGAGATGTGTAAACAGTTAGAGTTAAGGGAAAGAGACAGAGAGACAGAGAGAGAGAGAGAGACAGACAGAGAGAGAGAGAGAGACAGAGAGACGGGCGGGGGGAGAGAGATGGCTCAATTTGAGAAAAACACTTTCATAAATTTTAGTTCTTAATGTTTATGAATGTTTCTATTGCTCTGTTTTGTTTCTACTCTCTTTTAATGCATATTTTATGTTGCAGTTTGTTTGATTTTTTTTTTTCATGTCTGGGTGGAATATTTAGTCTTTGTTTTCAATCCTCGGTCTGTCTGAACCAATCTGTGCAAACGGTGTTCAATAACATGTTTATGAAATTCAAATGATCTCCCTTTTTATGCAATATGCTGTAGTTACAATATGGAGCTGGTGTGCGTATGTGAGCACAGTAGGTATAAGGCAGTGTGAGAGTGTTTGCAGAATGATGATAGGCTCATTTATCATGTGAAAACACAGTAACACGTACAAATGCATCAATCCTGAGGC